TTGAACTGCTGATGCCTTTTATAAGTTTGTAATAGTCTTTATCCGTGTGTAATTGTGCTTACCTTGACAATGTTGTTTTTTTCAAAGGGTGGGGCTTGGGGCTCAGAATTTCTGTACAAGAAGCCCGGGTTCAATCCTTCAAATTGCCAACGACTTTCAGATTTGTGATAAAACAATGACTCACTGGACCGGAGTCGACATTGAACCAATTATAAAGGAACTATTGAAATGGATAGTTCTTTTAAGCCACAAGAACTTAATCTGAAATTGAAAACTCTCTCCACTAAAAGCGATACAATAATTTAAGAATTCGTATTTGTGAGGCAATTCATTGGCAATTATATTATAAAATTCATACACAAATTTAATTTTTGTTTAAGTTTGCAATCAGTGTTTTAGGTTCCACGTTTTTCACAATTAAAAAATATTAATAAATATTAGTAAAATATAACATAAAAGTATGGTTTAATTTGTAAATACTGACCGTGTAAACTAAGTAAGGTGAAACACTACTCATTTCCTCAAATATACTTGCCCCAGTATACACCAACAAGTGTATAAACCAAGAGGAATTAACATTAACTTACCTGAGGTTCACTGGTTCGAGCCTGAGAAGAGTCTATTATGTACCCAGTTGTCGGATGTCTCCGAGCATCAATTTTTGGTCCCTAACCGAGATTTAAGTTCAATATTAACTATGCTACACCATCCCACAAAAACCCGTTATTTTAAATAATTACAAAAAACACTGGCGTTGAATATACAAAATAAAACTAACTGAGGATCTCAAAATAAGGGAAAAAGTTAAGTTATCGATGTTTAGAGCATTAAACAGTAGCATAGTGCAGTCTTTAACATGGTTGAGCTCAACCGAGCGGCGCTTGTGGTTAGTTTGGCAACTTCCCCATTGTTCGGTGGTTGTGGTCAGTACAGGACCATCAATAGTAAACATTCTTCAGCCATAATTACTCCCTAATGACTTTTCAGCGGTGTATTGTTTCATAGTTCAGAAGACATTGTTGCAGAATAGTGCACATGCTTAGAAACTTGTAATAGTTAGTTATTTTTAATATGGTTATTTTAAAAATCAAAAATTATTTACAGGTCCATGAAAGAAATGAATGAATTTAATATATTTTAAATCATACAAAATGGTTTACAAAAACTTCATGTTGTTAGCCTCCGGATCACTTTTAAGTAATAAATAATGGTTTAAATACCTTTTACTGTCAAAAGTGAAACTGCAGTAGCCTACATAGACTATAAAGGATCACGTTTGACAGTAAAAGGTATTTAAACCATTATTTACAAAAACTTAGAAGGAGATTCAATGAAGAAAACAAAAATAAATGTAAATTGTGACTATAAGGAAGATCGGTGCTATTGATAAAAACAATTTACAAAGTATGCAAAAATGTTTAAGTCCATTTCATACAACATATATATCCAGACATTTTCCAATCGATGTTACAAATGTAGAAAACATGTTGTTTGAAAATACGGGGGATTTGAAATCAATTACCATCCCCCCTTAGTCTCTTAGTTTTCACTCTTTGTTAGGTCAGGGTTTTATTTATAAGTTTCATGGTAACAATAAGTTTATTATAAATTAGAAAATGGGTGATAAATATTCCGTTAAAGCAAACCTAACTAAAACTCAGACAATTCGCCTAATCTTTAATCAAACCAGTTAGTAGTACAAATAATTTAATCTGAGATCCTCACCTATAAAAATATCGTTTGATCGTTTAGAGATAAGGTTTTCTGTCCCATAGAAATACTCGAAAGGGGACAACTCTGTTGAAATTGCATTTGCTGCAATTAAACATCAGAAACTATTATTAAGATTCTTGAGTGTGACAGAAGGTGCTGAGATGCACATGATCTTAACGTTTTCGTGTCGTAGCGTGTGTCTTTCCTGTCTTAATATGTGTAATTGCTGCAAAGCAAATTAAGAGACTTCGTGTTGAGTAAAAACAAGACTTTAATAAGACTTTTTTAGTTCCAGTTTATTTTTAGATTAGTCTCCGAAACGGGTGTAGTGTAGTCTCACCTCTGACTGTGAAGATTGTAAGGCTTTAATATATTTTTATATATTATGTATGTACTGTAGATATATCAATGAAGCAGCCTACACTTCCAAGCCAAACTTCATCAAAATTGGACAATAATTACTCAAGTTATCGTGTTCACAGACAAATATGTATATAACAATTTGAACGAATTGTGTATTTGGCCTCTGGAAACTCAAAATGAAAAATTAATTCGCTCCCGGGCCTAGGTCTTACCGTGCCACCTACGGTAATAGATCCTTTCCTATAGGGACAATCGCTAAAGTCAATAACCATTGCTTGAATTGTTGTATCTAAAGGATTCAAACATAGATTTCGATGGAACTGATAGATGAGTCAGTTGGACACAGACTAACTGACCGAGACTGAGGCCGAAGAGGATATCGGCAGCAAGGTCGAAGTCAAGGCTATAATGTGAGCTTGGGAATTTCCCTCGGTTGTCTTTATCTACAGATACAAGTGAGGCTATTATATAAAATCGAGCACGATGGTAAAACTAACTAGACTACCAAATATTTTTGATACTTTGACGAGTAATGTATAACTCGTACTATTTTTTAATTTGACTCGGAATGTTTATGAGATTACATATAATACTTAAATAGTTTGAATTCTGCCGATGCCAACAAAAGTAACTTAATCGAATTCTATCGATAGTAATAAAGAGAACAGAGAAAGAAATTCGTTAGGAATTTTACTGTTAACATCAGTAGGAAAAACTTAATTTATAAAAATCTCCTGGATAAAATTAAGTAACAAAAACAACATAAGATAACATAAATAGGACCTAGGTGATATTTTTGAATCCTACCAATAATATTAACAATGATATTCAAATACTATAATATTAGTAGATTCATTTAAAATTATTTCGTTTTTTTTAAATCATATTAATAAATAATAAAATAATAATAATGACGAGAATTTGATTATTGTTCATCTTATGAGCTATTATCTGAAGATGACATGTCGCTCTAAATAGCATGTAGTTACAAAGGATGTATGAGCTATTACTACTGTTATTTCGGTTTCTCCGAGGTTTTACATGCTTATAGCTAATCACACGGTTCAATAGAGCGACGCCGTGCCGGCCAAACGCGTTCCTTGACGTCATAAATTATAGTTAACAGGAACTAAGATTAGTTTAAGTGTCTCCAACGTGTACAGAATTATGGGATAACATTAATTTGTGCAAACCAATAAAATAACAAAATCCATTAATCAATAATTTAAAGTAATAATACAGAAAATGTGTGTAATACTAATATTTAATTAATATACTCATAATCAGGCATTTAAGTAGACAATTTTAACGAATTTGATTTTAAATACAAAAACTTAAAAATGAAACAAGAAAATTTCATCTAACTTAAACTGACGAAATGCAAATAGAACACAAAAACTGCATACCAATGAGTTTGGTGTTTGGTTGGGTTCAACCCTAGGGACTAATGATTTGCAAGCGCCGAGGAACAATTCACCGCATAAGCAGAACGTACTATGCCCTAGGGTAAAGAAGGCAAGCAAAGGTCCATTAACAGAACTACTAGACCACAAGGCTTCATGGCGACACTGATAACCAGAGATATGTCGACCTGCTACAAACAAGATAAGAGACGACGTACCGTGTGTTAGCGTGCCGCCCCCTAAAAAGTAATGGACTAATAATGTCACCATGACACATACCGTGGCTTGCTTGGACTTTTTAATACCGAGTATTCACGTAAAGGCAAATTTACAACGGTTTCGTGATGTAGCCAATGCAGAGGCTTTGGAAAAATGTAATTGAATTGTTCTGTAATGTTTTTCTTCATTATTTTTTATTAGATTGACTGTTAATAATAGGATCCTTGATGAGGCTAATATTTACATTTTCAAAACTCATTCTGCTATTTGTATAAGAACATAATAGAGGGTATTTATACACAACGGTGTTTAGACTATGTGCAAAGCTATTACCGACTGAGAGGGGTGCCAGACCACCAGGATCGAAGTTCCTTGCTTTAGACTAGACTTACACCTTTCGCCTCCATATTATACAAAAGTAGTCCTTTACTTACTTATTCTACAACGTAATTTTTAATGTAATTTTTAATATTTCTCTTCTGAATTCTTAGATGACCTAATAAAATATAACTTTTATATTTCTAACATTTTTTTTCCAGAAAAAAAGTTGCTCTTAAAAAAAGCTTTGCACTTATGAATCGCCTAGGCATGTTGGCAATCCAGAGATGTTCAATTTTGGGTAGATAGCCAAATTTGTCAGCATATTCATTTTTCATACTACTTTCTTATAATGTATAACAAAATCAGCTCCATCTATTTTAGCATTTGCACGATATATTATTTATTATAATAAAGGCGATAAAAATGTGTTTGAGCTGGTTAAATGGCAAGCAAAATTATTGTTTTATATATTTTAAAAGAAATTGCTGAATCTATAATCACTTTTTATATGTTAACTTGTGAACTAAAACACAACCTAGTTACCCGGTTCAAAATAAAAATTCACAAATGTTGGGTTAAAGTTTTAAATGAAGCTGGAAACGAAAAGACGGAAGATTAAAGGAATCCATTCCATATTATATCCTTGTAAACTAAAAATTTACTTGCTTTTCGTAAATGTCCAATTTGTCAAAATTACCAAAATATATGTAACTTGGATCAAAACAAAAAATGCGTCTCAAAGCCATTGCAACCCAAAATCCTTGTTTTCCAAAAACACTTTATCGCCAAACGACATCCGGATGAAAATTAAATCTGACGCATCTCCGGACTTAAGTTTGGATTAATAGGACAATGAGGCAGGTGAGGTGAAGTGGGTAAGGTAGAAGAGGAAGGGGAGGAGTAGGAGGAGGAAGTGGGGTCAGGGTGGGAGCGAGAGACGCCACTCCTGTCGCCGCTTCAGTACCAAGTGACGAACGGTGAGACTGGGTCGGACAATCTCTTCTGGACCGACTCGGACTCTGACATGTCTTATCACCACTAGAGTGATGTTACCAGTTATGGATGTTCTCTCGGTGCTACTTCTGCTGTATGTCGTGGGAGCCGTCGCGGGATCGGGATCCGGTGAGTCTCTTTGTGTAACTTAACAATCTGAGCTAGTAACACCAGTTAACTAAGCACTAGCTTCGAAGTCGTCTGAAAATAGTAGGAAACTGTAGGGAAATTTGTTGTTAGACATATATGCACTTCGTGTTTCGTGTTGTATTCTTACATTTTTGTGTTTAATTTATAATTTGAAAAATTGTTTGAAAATGGTTTTAAAGTGTATCAAAGAATTGGTGAGAGTTTAGTAACTTAAAAATTAGTGATCGTCAATTGATTTAAAGGTATTCTAATATATTACGGTAAAATATTTCGACGTGTTATAACTTTATTTATGAACATTCTGTACACCTCAACATCGTGTAAACATAGTTATACCGCTTTTAAACTATTTCAAAATAAAATTCTAGGTGAATAATTTGATTCATTGTTAGCCGTACTGGTTTGTTGCCGACTTGCACACTGTTATGAATTAGTGTAAACTTGTTTGTTCTTAGATGACGTTACTCAAACAAAGAATGACTTTTTAATGTTTTGACACCTCAGTACACAATCATTTGTGTATAATAAATGTAGAAGAATGTTCAAGGAATAAACAGCTGAATAATAATTTTAAAAAAATTTCTGTATCGTCTTTGCAGCCGGCGTTGCAAACTGTGCATAATTTTTATTCCAAACCTGCCTCTACCTTTTTGTGTTACCGATAGATTTGTTTTCCATTGTTATCAGTATTGTACGTGCCAGCAGATAGGTTTTGCTTTTTGACACAGTTACTGAATTACTGTTTATATTGTGAAGCTAAACGGGTATTTTGTGAAATTACTACCAAAATGTTATATCCGTTTGTTTACAGTTTCGAAAACAAAATACTTGAAAATATTTAAGATACACTATAAAACTTTCTAATGAACTTTCTTCCACCACTGTATTTTATAAACTTAGACACCTTATTAATGAACTTTAGACACATTCTGACCGTTTATTCATGCTTTATTTTCTGAACTTTACATAATTTCTGTACACCTACAGATACTGTACACTTGTATACTGTTTCTTACACATTTCTGTTACTATTTATTTGTATTGTAAATATCTATGTAGGCTTATGTCTTAGAAAATTAAAAAGTATTTGCCGCAATTGGGTAATAAGTTGTACAAGTCGAATTCATAAAGCATTGAAATATTTCCAACAATATCTAGTTAAATGAAAATGTGTGGTTACATTTAACTGTTTTGTAAAAACCTAGAAAAAAAATACTTATATTGAATAAAAGAATGAAGTAAGATGAAAAGATTGCGGTTGGGCACGGGTTACAGGAAACACACCAAGTTAAATAAAAATAATGAGTATTGTAAAATGAAGAGATCTTATACCTTTCAGAATTGTTTAACTTTATACATTTTCTTTTAATTCTTATTTCCATTTATAATAGTTTACAATTTACTTGTTATTACTTTAAAACACGTGAAATCACTTGTTGTAAACTAATGTTTAATAATATACGAAATTTCAGACTTAAATATGTTTATCGATTAGACCAAGCATACAATAAAAAATGTATTATATGATGGTGCATATTGTTTTTTTTTAAGGTAGAATAAGTTATTAACGACTTTTCCCATCAAAATGAATTTTATAAAAAATAATAATTTATGTGAAGAGCTTTCATTCAATATAAATATGAATTATACCAAAACTTCAAAACTTTGTGTAAATTCAACACCTAATATATTTTTACTAAAAATAGAAAGTGCAAATAATTGTATTTATCTGTCCAAGTGATACAAAGCGTTTTACTGCTCGGTGTCGCTACATGTTTATATATTACACATCTGTGTATACATTGTCAATTCAACTATAATATTGTGGCTTTATCTATATTAAGAGCTATTACTATTATGAAAGAGTGAAATATATACCAAAACCTTAAATCCCAAATGATGTATAAAAACTATATGAGATACATAGTAATTAGTCCATACAAAAATATAATCCACAGCAAACCTACATACTAAACAAATTCCTATTTGAGTAATTAGCTTTACGGAAAAATATTCTCTCGAATTTGTCTGATTTATTCCATATTAAACAAAAATAGGTTTGACGAGAACTTACGTTTGCTGCTGCAGGGGAAATAGTAAAGTTGGCCATTTAACTTAATTTTGAAATCTTAGTAATGGATTCATAAAATTTCGTTAAATCCACAAATAGACAAAATACAACAGTTTATTTATTCTCGATACCAATGAAATATGGATTTTATATATACGGGTTTTTATATTTTCTTCTTAACCATTAGGCGTACAACAAAGCTTCAGTATTCTAAATTAGTTAATTTTCTTTACTCTTGGTTTGGATAATCAACAATTGTTAACATCAGAATTTTTTGTTCTACAAAACTCTTTTCTTAAACAATCTCTGTATGTGTCTTAGGCTATTCCCTTTAAATAGACCAGAAATTATATTCACTGTAATACTGATCGGTTCTTTTATCTGAAAAATTATTATTATGCATTTATAATAAAAAGCTTACCTTCAATTTATAGTATTTTAAATTAAATTTGTAATTCACTTAAGACATGAATTGCACGGTCGTGATTGCCGTTGCAGTGTTAAATAAAAACCAATAACCTTTTACAACAAACATTATTTTTATCGTCTTGTTTGTATCCGAAGGATGGCGATAATTAATTGCAAACGACTGCTTGTTGTCCATTTAGAAAAATAAAATGTTTATGTTATATATGACTCGTATATAGCTTATATGACTCTTTTAGTTAAATAAAACATGATTGTCATTATTTCATACCTTTACATAATGTATTTTAAATAAATTAAAAGTGTTTAAAAATGTTCCGATGTATAATATACGTAATTGTATTAAAGTATAACTGAATAATACCAGCTGTAACCATTAATTGTTTTGCATATACCACAATAAGTATGGTATTTGATTTGTTTATTTATGGCTATGCGCCATTTTACATTACCATACAACAGAATACAATTCCCAAAAATAGTGATTAATTCAATACATGACAACAAATTAGTATTAATAGAAATTATAACAGATAATAAGTGATAATTTTATGATAACAGACATAATTTAAGAAGGAAATGATGATTGAATATAAAATAGGTTTAATATAGCGTTTAATATAACATAATAATAGTTTAATATAATATAGCGCATTTGAATGAATTACAGAGATTATGGTAATACGATAATGAAATATCATGAAGGAACTAACACGGTATGGACATAATAAATTGTAGTGTAATCATGAGTGGGAAATGCTAAATGTTCATAGAAATGGCATCTGTTATAAATAAAATTATTGAATAATCAATAGAATGATAGAGGTTTATATTACATAATAAGTATAAATAACAGTAATTTAGTAGGATAAATAGTTTATATTTATACTTAATGTGTGAACCAGGCAATAAATCTATACTAACGATGTTTAATGATAATAAATTTCGATTGGGCCCTCTAATCATCCTCAGACCCAATAGGATTACAGGTCCTCTTATTGGCTTTCAGATATTGCTGGAAATGAAGTATCTTTAAGTATTAATAAAATCAATGTTCACTAGTCTACCAATCGGATAATCCTTTTTTTAGATCCCCTTATAAATATACTTTGTTCACTCACTATACACAATATTGGTACCGTATTTTTTTTCTAAATTTTCAGTATTTAAATATCGTACTCAATTTTCTGTAAAGTATTTATTATTATTCAATCAGGTCAAGGTGATTTTTTCAGTATTTTTTTCATTCAGATTTATTTAAAACATCTAATTACACATGAAGAGAAAAAAAAATTATCTAACTTACTTTTTACCGAGTGTTTTTTTTATTTTTTTATTTATGACCCATATTATTGTATGAAGTATTTATTAATTAAAGTATTAAATTAGGAATAAAGTATGGCAAACCTCAATTACAATTTGCATATTAAAATTAACTCTTTGAACTCATATGCCCTTATAAATTGTAAATAATACATAAATACCAATTCACGTATACATATTCAATAGAAATAATACTATGGAACTAGGTACTGCATAATACGATTCATCCATTAATCTCCTATTAAATTCGGTCAATAAATAAAAATAATATTATTAAAATTTTAACAAAATATTAGTTTAAAACTACATCAAGTTTTAAACACTTTAGTTTAAATATAATTGAGCAGCTGGTTGTAATCTAAGCTTACATAAGTGAGTTAGAATGTAACGTTGATACATGAAAGGAACTGTCGTGTAGTCGTTAGTGTATAATGAGAACTGGGTACATAGATTTGGGTCGACATCCCGTAATGTAGAAGCTCTCCATATCAGCAAATAAGCTACAAACAGGATTACGCGAGGCCGAATTTGCCCAAATCCGACTAAATATAATAACGTTTACATCAATGTAGGCTACTTCGTTTGAAATTCCAACGATGGAGCCTTCTAGAATTATAAGGTGCGCATTTGCCTGACTTTCACTATTTATAACGAGCGTGCCTGTGTTAGTAAATAATGTAAATATTATGTATTTAAAAATTATAGGTTTCATTTTTTTTCTTTTAAACGAATAACTTATATTTAGAAAAATTATTATTATAATGTTTGTTAATGCATTTAATATTTAATCAATACTTTCAAGTATTAAAATGCAAGGTTTTTTTTTAATTGACTGCGAGTGGCATTTTGTAAATCTGGACTTAAGTACACTTTTTACATTAAATGCAAAACACGTTTATTATAACATGGAGGACAACGTTCTGCGTTAAAAATTAAACTTCCTTTACATCCAAAAAAGTAGAAAACAAAATTTTCTTCACATAGTTTGTTTTTTCGATGAGATTAAGGTAATGGAACACCATTTAGATTTTTTAATTGTACGTCAATAAAAAAAAGTACTATTTCATCTTTAAAACCTAATTCAAGCTCCTTCTCGTGGTTAGCAATTTGATCAAATTTCTTAACTATAATTTCGAGGAATGTCCACTATTTTTATTTT